TACGATATAAAAGTTTCAGCCTAATTGCAAAGCAAACCTAGGAGAAGTTTGTACATAGAAACATTGTATGGTTGCAATTACTCTTCCAGTCAATGACTTCGTACATACTTTATTTGATTTCAACATTTTGGGACATAGTAAGCTTTTAAATAATGAATTTTATGAACACTTTTCATATAATTATATTTATAAAACAAGGTGTACGATAAAGTATATATGAACTCATTAAATGCACGTGTGACTTTATTCATAAAAAATGTCCGTTTAACACCCGTTATTGTACATTTCTAGGAATACAATTGGGTAAAAGCAACAGCATGGAGACCGTGTATATTCCATATTAGGTTAGTAGGCGGGGCTCATTTCAATCCATGGTTAGTAGTGGTGTTACGTCTCTTTATAGCAAAACGGTACTGAGAAAAAAATCTTAAAGGTTTCAACAAATCAATGATGAAAGATTGAAATAAATTCATAAAACACATATAAAGCTAACACGTTGTTATTGTTGGCATTTGTTTTTGTATGAACAATGGAAGTAGTTTCTTTATGTTAACGGTATTGACTTGCTCACTTTGATAGGTCGCTAGTCTATCGTCTAGTCTATCTATCAAATACCACATGTTAAGATGGTCGGTAAGATAAATTCGTTACATAGTGTGGTAGTGACGAATACGTTATTTATTGGGAGAGTAAGTTCCATATGGGGATTGGAGCTTCGCTCTCACCCCATACGGAATTTACTGAACACCATATATACCATATTAGGTCACTAGTACACTATGTAACTAATATTATTTTCACTAAAAACTTTACACTTCCAGGTATTCCTGGATCAAAACAAAGTACCATAAAATTTATTTTTCATAAGTCATGAATTCAATTGAAGTCTAATTTGATTAACCCGTAAATACAATACACATTTTGATAACTTTTAGCATGTCGAAATGTCCTATTGTATTGTTTATTTGTGTTTTTCTCTGTCCTGAATGTTCTTGCATTTATTTGTACTGTAGTCCTGTCATGTATTGTTGTCATTTTAGTGTTATATTTAACATTGCCATAAAAGCGCGAGGTTTGGCAAGCCACAAAACCAGGTTCAACCAATCATTTTTTCTTAAAATGTCCTTCACCAAGTCAGGAAAATGGCAGTTATTATGATCTTATAGTTCGTTTCTATGTGTGTTTCATTGTCGTTTGTTTTTTGTGGCGGTTCAGTGTTTCTGTTGTTTCGTTATTTTCCTCTTATAGTTGATGTGTTTCCCTCGGTTTTAGTTTGTAACCCGGATTTGTTTTCTCTCAATCGATTTATGACTTTCGAACAGCGTTTACTACTGTTGCCATTTTTAGTAGATATGAACAAAGTTAAAGACTTTGCAAAATAAACTTTGTTAGGAGATGTGTATTGACCAGCATTACAAAATATACATATCAATTATATGAATTGATCAATACATTGTATACAGTCCCTCAAAAGTTAAGCACCACCTAAATATAACTAGCAATATTTTTTTAACAATTGCGAACAAATTATTTATGTTTAGTGTTATGATTTGCCTTTAACATACACTAAAAAAGTTCGTTACGACCAAAAATATTGAACTTCGAAAAACACGTCAAGCAACTTTTTATCAAAGGTCATCTGCACTTTACAAATACACAGTTTTGATAACTTTTAATCATCTGCCTACAATCACGCGTACAGGTGAAATTTGAATTTCATCCAGTCATTGTGCAATATGGCAAGGCGTAAGTTATCTGTGGCTGAACGTTGGCAAGCAATTCGCATGCACAATGACGGTAGGAGCACTAGAAACAGTAACCATTTCAATGTTAATCACACCGTCATTGTCAGACTTTTACAACGTCATGTTGACACAGGAACTGTAAAAGATAGACCAAGGTCCGGAAGATCATGTTTTACTACCCGTCGTGATGACAGACTGCTTTTTCGTCGTGCTAAAGCCAACCCATTTACTCCTGCCCCACAATTTATACACCACTGGCCTCCAAGTGGTCGTGTTAGTGTTCGAATATTGGTCCGTCGACTTCATAGAGGCAACATAAGAGCACGTTGTATTGTCAAGAGACCAGCCCTAACAACTGGGCACCGTATAATCAGGTTTCATTGGGCTAATGGCCATCGACGCTGGAACATAAGAGCTGGCAAAAAATTCATTAATCAGATGAAAGTCGCTTTCTGTTAAGACCAGTAGACAGCAGAATACGAGTTTGACGGGAAAATAAAACTGCCTATGACCAAAAACAACCTTTGCCCAACGACAGCATTCGATGCTGGTGGTGTTACAGTATAGGATTGCTTCTCATATCATTGTAAGCTGGGTATGCATATTCTGCAGGGTAACATGAACGGACAGACATACAGGGACTTCGTTCTTAGAAACATTGTTGTCCCTAACTTGTGTCAAGTTCCTAGTACATGGACGACAATGCTAGACCATACAGGACAAGGATTGTAACCGAATAGAAACAGCAAGAAGCCATTTACACTATCGTTTGGTCTTCCATGTGTCCAGACATGAACCCTACAGAACAATTCTGGGATGCCATTGCCAGATATTTCAATCGCAGAGATCCAACTTTGCAAAATGTTGGCTTTTTTATAGTGGCAATTGATGATATATGAAATTTCCTCAACTAAAGTTCAGAAGGCTTGTACAGAGTATGAGACGCCGTGTTAAGGAACTGTACCGAAAGAGTGGTGGTAACACATCTTATTGACTCAAATATTGACATTAAATTTGCCAAACATACCAAAGATTATTTGTAGAGAATTTTAATGATATTGGGTGAGTTATTGTTGTAAAAAAATAAAATCACAGTGAAACTTAAATTCCGTTTCTGATTTGTGCAATTTGCACTATTTCTATGAACGCAAAATTTAAATGCATTAATGACCAAACTTTATGGTTTGTTTATAGTAAATGTTAACAAAATTGCTACATGAATGTTTTCTCTTTTTCGAGGAATAACTGATTTTTTTTAAATGAAAAAAAAAATCGATGCAATAGGTGGTGCTTAATATTTGGCGGACTGTATATTAAGGTATACACCACTATAGACGTGTGTTTTATCTTGTAATTGCACTTGTTTTTGTGAATAATGTTTGCTAATACATATTTTACAGAAGAAAACAAACTGCGGATTTTTACACAAAAAATCTTAAGATTGAAATTACTCAATAAAAGTCATACACTTTTCAGTATAACGTACGATCAATTTTTATTGTAAGGTTTTTTTGTGAAAAGAGTCGTTGATATTATCATGGTTTTCTGGGGTCTGGTAATATTAAGTAAAACATATATATTTAAATTCATCTAATTAGACTCATCAATGGAACCAGGAATTTTTACGCCATCCATTCGTCTTTATAATAATCATCAGATACTCTCGGAATTGATATTAGGGCGTCCTAACATACACTTGACATAAAATCTTTCAAGTATTCACATGTTATACAGATAATATTTGAAAATTATATTTTAAGTGGATCAAGAACTTTCCGAGAAAAAATATCCTAATGTCAATAGCCTGAACACTTTTTGCAAACGTGGGATTATTTTTATATTCCAGTACGAATAATCAACTTTGACTTCAATTCAATATATGACTAATGAGAAATAAATCTTATGATACTATTTTTGATCACTGGATACCTGGAACTGGCACAAAATCTTTAAAGCAAACAAAACTATATAAATGACATGCGCCAATAACCAAGGACACGCGTGGTATTTGAAAACTACTAATAACCGACTATAACAATACATGTAGGAGGAAATACAGAGTCTTCATGATCATACATGTTACAAAAAATCATCGGAAGATACCAGACCTTGTTGATAAATATTCAGTATCAATATCACAAATAATACACGATGGTTTTGAAGTAAAGAGTCTAGTTACTGATGTTGTTTATCATCTTAATTACGTTTCTTAGTGTTTTTATTTGTCTTTGTATATTTTAATTTACTGTGAATTCCATTTTTGGTAATAGACTGTTGTGGTAGATGGGTATTTATACATCCCGCTATTGTGTTATTGCGCTATTGTCATGTTTTGTTATCTTTTCTTTCATTTTTGCTTATTTACTTTGTCTATAGAGTGTCTTTGAGCCATTTTATGTTCTTTTTGCATGAGTTAATTGTTTTATAGTGATTAAGATTATAACACAATGCTGACTGTTGCACCCCATTTTTTGACAACTTGACCCATAACATGCATTATGTCTGTTTGTTTTGCTCATACATTATTGTCAATATAATGGATTTCTATACAACTGTCATACAAGTGAGGATTTAACTAGCTATAAACCAGGTTAAATCCATCGTTTTCTACATGAGGGAATGACTGAAAGAAGACAATTGTTTTTCATTCGTTTGATGTGCTTTTGATTTTGTCTTTCCGTTTTGAATTTTCTATCGAGTTCGGTTTAATTGTTATTTTGCTTTTTAGCCCTTAATTAAATGGAACTATGTGTTGATTATGATGCAAGGTGTCTTCCTCCTCAAGGTTTAAGGGTTGAAACAATTAGGAATCCAATCTTACCACTGTCAGCTTAAAACAAAAAACCATTTAGGAGAAATTTGTTACTGACTTTGCTAACAAATTTTATTACGTGACATTAATTGAATATCTAAATGAATATCTAACGTATGAATATGAATCTTCTGGGTTGATCATGCATTATGTTAAGGTATATGCCACTACAGGCACAGTAAGTTGATTCTTAAATAATTGCATACCATGTACTTGTTAAAATCAGTAATTTTTGGTAGAACTAAAAATCAACAAAAAATTAACAGAAATTATTATGGCTTCCAAGGGTTGGTTATACTGGGCAATGTGCTATTTTAAACTTTTTTAATATAAACTTGACATTATTCGGTTCCAAGAACACTAATAGATGATCATATATAAGTACTTATTTATATAATAATATGTAATTTAACTACCAATTTCCGTTTTTGACCGAAGAGGTGCTTGTTCACTAAACTATTTATACTGCTGTATTTGTAAAATTAATACATCTACAGATATTGCTGATCATCAAACTCTGGTAAGTTTTTCTTCATTTGTATATTTTTTAGTATGCGTTTAAAATTAAAATAGCCAAACAGTTTTTCGTGACAAATAGGCTTAAAAATAAGATTTTGTCTTGTTAATTTGATTTTAATATGTAATATTAAAATCAAAACGTTTTCGAAAACTGAATACTAATTAAAATTGAGAATGGAAATGGGAAATGTGTCAAAGAGACAACAACCCGACCAAAGAGCAGACAACAGCCAAAGGCCACCAATGGGTCTTCAATGCAGCGAGAAACTCCCGCACCCGGAGGTGTGCTTCAGCTGGTCCCTAAACAAAAATGTGTACTAGTTCAGTGATAATGGACGTCATACTAAACTCCGAAATATACACAAGATACTAAAATTAAATATCATACAAGACTAACAAACCCAGAGGCTCCTGACTTGGGACAGGCGAAAAAATGCGGTGGGGTTAAACATGATTTAGTATATATGCATTAGGTATTGCAGCATTAAAGAATATTCGAATATAATTAATTATTAGTGAAATATAATTGATACAAAGTAAAATATAATTAAAACAAAGTAAAGTATGATATTATAAAATAACACATAACTAATATAGCGTAAATATAATTAATATAAATAAAATATAATTAATTTAAAATAAAATATAATTAATTTAAAATAAAATATAATTAACATAAAATAAAATTGAATATGATTAATAAAGAATGTAATATAATTGATAAAAAAAAATTGAAAATAAAACAAACCATTAATATAAAGTCAATTATATTAAATATTAAATTAAATTAAATTAATATCAAATTAAATTAAATTAATATAAGATAAAGTATGATTAATATAGAACGAAATGTAATTAATGTAAAGTAAAATATTATTAATATAAGATAAAATATAATTGATATAAAATAAAATATAACTAATATAAAGTATAATATATTAATTTTAAATATAATATAATATAATTAATATAAGGTAAAATTTCCTTGCCATCTTACTCATCAATTAAGAAATTTATCTTCACAGGGAGAATGTCGTCAAAGCTATTTACTGTGCTCGTGCTAGTCTGTGTGTTTTGGTTAGAGAATACTAATGCCTGGTGGGGTAAGTTTTCATAATGACTTTGACTTCTCGCGTTTTGTCCTTTTTATTTTGCAAAACCGACCTGTTTCCTTTAAGACTTTTTGTACTTTGTAGTTATTCCTCGTTTCCTCCTCCAATGTTATAGCAGTATGTCACTTCTCTGCCCTTTTACAATTGTATTTCTCGTTCTTGACTTCCAAAATGCTACATCTGTCTCGTCTATATGTATGCTCCGGACCATATGAGTATTTGGACCATATGCGTATACTCATATGGTCGGACCATATGAGTATATACTCGTTTGGTTATTTGGACTATATAGGTATTTTTTTTTAAATATGTATTAGAAACGTTTCATTTATATAATAAACATTTATCTATTTTAAGTAGCTCTAGATCTCAAATATCGTAGCATGACTAACATGTTGAAAACCTCTGTCTTTCACATATTGTCTAAATCTGGATGTATTTGTTTTCCGTCCTTCTGTAGTGTCAATTATTAAGCTCTATAACCTGTCGTCAGTTAGTAAAACAGTTGACTTCTTGTGTATCATTAAGATATTTTTGGAAGTTATCATCTCAAGTCGACATATTGTCATTGACTCGTAATAACAAATCGATGATGACTATAGGTATAAAATGTGTTTACTATAGTTGTGACTAGTGGGTTTAATTAAAGTGTGAAACTGCTTATTTTTATTTAGTGAACTGATTATTGTGATATATAATAAAATGACCTTTGATATCGTCTTTTTAATGACATGACAACAAGAAGGGTTAAGTATTAAGAGTACACCTGTTAATTACCCGACTCAAAGACGTACGATGTCGCATAGCATTTAAGACCCAAAATTACCAAAAACAAATACCATAGACAGCACGATAGATTCGACAATATTACCAATATAATAAGGAAAGATCGTTGCAGCTCAATAATTGTTAAACATAATCAAACTAATACACAGAAATAGGAGCACACTAACAAACAGCAAACAAACAACGATATAACAGAAACAGAAGACACAAAAAAAAAATCTGGTTTGATTCAGTTATATATTTATTTAATTAAATTTTTGTTTTTTTTTAGGCAGAGATAACAGTTACATTGTCAATAGATCAGATCAATCTATACATGTAGCGTTAGGCCATGGTCGTCATACAACCACAAGAACTGTTGGACCCGGATCATATACCAAAATCGAAACTGGAAAAGGCCAAATAACTTTATGCGTAGATTATACTATTTGTCATCATGCGGGTTCCGACACAAGCTTTATCGTTGACCAATATAGAGGAAGTTTAAGAATTTTCAGATCTGTCTATGGAGACATTCATTCAATAGATTGGTCTAAAAAATGAACAATGCTGATTTGAAAATCTATATAACCTGTATTTAGAAATACCCACTCGTGGTATAATAATTAGTCAGTGTTTTATCAATGTTATATTTCAAAATATCTGAATATAAATTAAGAAAATCTGTATGATAATGTTTTTTTGTAATGAAATAAAATATTTCTTAGTTTATAAGTATGTTTTGTTATAATTAAAGGTTGCTCATTTTCTTCAAAATTTTAAAACCAAGACTTATTTCTAGTGAAAAAATAAAAAAATGTAACGAACTACAGTACATTTTAAGTCTTGCTCCTATATATGTCCCAACGGGACAAGAAGACGGACTAGTCGGACATCCGCCTGACTGTAATTACCCCTGCAGTGATGTACCTGTGTAATACCTTGTTGGAAGGTCGTAAATTAATCTGTAGCTGTGATTGATAAATTTGTAATCTTACCTGTACATTTTATAGATTAATGAATGATAGCATCCTGTAACATATTTCACTCTTTTAATAGATGAAATTACGGATAAAAAATATTTCAGTTTTTATTTATTAGCTATAATATGAACATTGAAATTGTTTATTTCAGCTTAGTTAGATATTTCATCATGCTAGATATAAGTCATGTACAAATCAATTGTTATTCACTTAAAACTTTGGAAATTAATCAGTTTTAAACTATAAACTTATTTTTCTTCCGATTTCACATTCCCCGTAAGAGCCTCTACGTTTATTTTCTCATGTCAATCACTGCTGGAATTTGACCTAGATCAGCCGAACCAATTTATGAAAGAATTTACGGCTGAATAAACAGAAAAGGATAAACCGGTGCTACAGAGTCTTTCTCTCGGTAGATAACTATTTTGTTGTTATGCAACTGCACGGAACACTCGTCTGTAAAAATGACATTGTTAAAATGATCGTCGTTTGCAATGACCTCTCTGGCAAATTGGACCCCTTTCTGCTTGTTTACGTCTCTAACCATTTGACCGTATCTGGGTTTAGAAGCTGTGATTCCGGCTGCATCAATGACTTTTCTCACAGTTGACTTACTGGTGTGAGTGCCTTTGTCTGCTAAGATATGTTTAATATCGGTAGCTGTTCTTGTTGGATTCTCAGTCAGTGCTGTCTTCACAAAGTTGATGTCTTGATCTGTTATATACTGAAATTTCGGTAGATTTTGGTCTTTATGATTGAAGTTTTCATACCCAATATTGCCGTATTGGTATCGTTTGATGACATTCTTCACCGTACCCCAGGTTACATCTATACCTATTTCAGCCAACAACCTAACAATGGCATGAACGGGCCAACTCTGTCTGTAAAGGGCAATGATTTCCAAGTTGTCTCGGTGTGAAAGTTTAGACTTAGGCATGGTTGTTTAATAATCGCAATATTGAACTATACTGATGCAAATATTTTTAGGAGCTTTTTATAAAGTCATTCTAAAATGACATGTTAATTGTAAGGGATACATGTATGTACTGTAGAAGGGTTAATATCGTGGTCCCACATTTGTATTTTTGAATACACATGTCGACATCACAACTGACAATTACCTTTGCGAGTTTACCTGACACATGTTAAATATGTATAATAAAGGAAATAATAATCTAATTGATTTGAATTTATCTTTCATTTTATTTATTTTAATTTACTTAAAATAATATTTGGCATTCATTTATAATTTCATAGTATATCTTTATTATTTTTATTTTCCATTAAATAAACAAAACACAATTTATTTTATTGAAATTTACATGCAGAAAAATAACCACACAATATTGTAATTGTTATGTACTTAATTTACTTTTTATTGAATAAATTAGATAATTACGTAATTTCCTTAAAAAGACAAAAAGTAAAAGTAAAAAAATATATGATTTTTAATGAAATATAATTTATGTGGTAATTAATTCAATCAAATTATGTATAATCAAATAAAGAAGAAGCCAGATTTAATCAAAATCAATGTTTAATCCGTTAATACCATTGTTTGCCCTATTTAATTTTTTTGTTCCGAATATCAACTGGTTTAAGCGTAATCACACAAGCTGGGTACATTGTTAAAAATAAATTAAATTCAAAAGCTGTTATGATAAATCTTATCTTCAAAGAATGTTGTTTTAACACATGAGTTGATATCATAAATTATCATTTAAGTATAAATATGACCGCTCAAACGATCAGCTGTATTAGTTTAACAATGTCATCCAGAGCCGCTACACGAGAGTATTCTCACTTCTTAGTAAAGTATGATGATGGTATTCGTTATACCTGTCCAAGAATTAAGATAATGACCGAAGGTCGTGTAAGAGTAGGCAGCAGATACCCAGTGATGTACGGGAACAGTACCAGTTCCCCTGAATCTGCAGAAGTTATAGATACTGGCGACTATCTCCAGATGAAAAACAGAGAGACAGAAAACTCAGAAGTAACTTCTCCAACTTCTTCATCGCCACACTCACCGAAATCACCAGTAGCATCACCAATAGCATCACCATTTGTTATACGCAAAAGCAAAAAATGCCTAAAACCACTACATCAAAGAAACCCAGACAGGAGGCCGTTTTACTCAGTATGGAGGAAGGCATTCACGATCCATATGCCAACACCATCTCCAAATGACAAATGCAATCAGACTAGTCCAACAGAAACAGAACCAACTGCATTTACAATACAGAAAACTATGGCCGCAATTTATAAACAGTTGGAGATAAACAACGCAAGGCAAACAGAGATGGAACGTATTATTCTTTCTCAACAACAGAAAATCGACTACCTGGTGGCCATGCAAAGACAGCAATCATTCCGTTTGACGGCACCTCCAACTCCTCCTACGCCAAGAACTCCAACTTGCCATCAACGCCAGCTCCCAGACTTTGATACTCCTACTAGAGATGAATGACCAGATACACCAGTTACTCCGTCAATTCCACCAGTAATGCCTTTAATTCTGCCTACAACTCCAACAGCACCCACAACAATAAGATATGTACCTATGCACCTATTCGCGGACATTCCAGACGGAGTTCGTCTGTCAGAAAATGACCTGAACCAAGCAGCAAGCAGCTCGACCACAACTGGAGCTTTTGCCGTTTCGTTATTGAAGTATTTGTTTCAAGAACTCTTTACTACAGACAACCTTAGGGTGTATTTTTCCTATAGGTTGCACTTTGTAAATACAGCTGTTTCTCAAACCACGCCTCTTTTGGGGAGATATATAATACTCATATATATGTTAATTTGTTAACGTACTGGTTCCTATTTATGATCTCTGTGTTTCATCTCATAGAGACATCACTTGGAAATGTAACCAGTATAGAAAAACATGGTAGCGCCTAAATTTTAATTCTCAGGAGGTCCAAATATGGAGGTAAGGGTAGTATAGAATTTTAGTACAAGTTTAAACTCTTAGAAGTTCAGGGCATATAAATGTTGAAAATATGCCGCACAGCCCTATATTTTGACCTTTGAATAAAATAGTAGTGCATATAAACTTTCCATTCTGGGATATTATTTTTCACGAAACTTCATAGTAAAAGTGTCACAGTTTCAGCCGCAAAGGAAGTTCCTATGGGAAATTGCATTGTCTATATTTACAGAATTGCAACCTATAGAGGCGGTGGAAAGTTGAGCAAAAGACCTCTAGACGGCACAAGAAAAACAATATCTACGACGCTATGTAACTGCATTCTACCCAAGTGTGACTTCGGAATCAACATACACCGCTATGGTGATTGAGAAAATCAACCAGTTTCTTCGTAGGCCCATCCAACAGAAGAAGTAAATGACATTTGTGTATTGATGACAATTGATGATTTTTATTGTGTAATTTTAATACTAGTATTGATGATTAAATATTTGATTTTTAGAGGTAAAATAAATTATGATATAACCATACATCGTTTTTTTTCTAGTTAATAAAAATATAGACTTTGTTAATGGATAGATGATTGTTTGACGTCCAGTGGCAAGTTTCGTATAAAAAAAACCAATACAAAAAGGCCAATTAAATTCTGGTTTTAAATTTACAAAGAAAACGATACAAAACATGTACAATATATTAATATAACTATTATTTTGATCAGAAGCACAATTCCAGCGACTTTTTGCAACATCGCAAACATTACCGGTACACATTGTATGAAAAGAAATTCATCTATTTATTATAGGATTACAATACTACGATGTTTTTGTTCTACATCCGGTCATAAAATTAATTATGTGGGGATCGACAACTTGTGTCAATTGAACACCTTGGTTTAATTATAATATATGGATGGTATGCAATCGTAAAATTCAAGGACCCGCAAAAGTACAAGTTAATTAAAAGTTAGATTTGACATTTTTAACTATGATGATTTATTTCCATCTACTCAAATGGACATTAAATTATTTACACGAGTCAATCTATATTTTCATCCCGAATTAACAAAATTCTGATTAAAAAAACTACATCGAGGTGATTTATAGACCACGAAAGTAATGTTTTTAAATTGTCTTTTTAATTGACATAAATATGTCGAATTCTTAATATTTAAGTTGAAATTTATAAAATCCATTAGTTTAAAATTTTCGAATAGTCAGCACCAATATCAATGTATATATATTTCCGTAATTTTGCCACGGTTATAGTTAATAGAGTGTGGCTAATTCATGAATAATAGATTTCATGGACATAATTTATTGTGTACTTTCCAAAATATAAATTAGCAAAACAAAATCGCCTTTATTATTGGTATAAAACGTAAAAAGACATTAAGTACATTTAGTTCATGAAGTTAAAGAGTACGAATTAAATAAAAAAAAAAATCAAGATAGAAAACAGTTAAAGTGTTACCAACAGAAAAAAAAAGAAAAACAAATTATCACACGACAAAACTAAAATATATTGTAATAAAGTTACAATACATCTATATCATTTTCCGTCAATTGCATCTGAAAAGATAATGATCATGTTTAAAAACCATTACCTGGTTAACACAGGTAGATAAAAAGCGTTCAACCGTAACAGATCGATTAACACGTGCTGGTCTTTAGTGTCGGTTAAGGATGAAAGGGCTCATGTAGGTAGCTGTACCTGACAAATAATTGATTTATGACTGTCGGACATGTCCGAGATGTCCGAGATGAGATGACGGACAGGTAAGATGTCCGACTATCGTCGTAGTAAGTCTCCAAAATGTA